TGTTAATCCACCCTAAGAGTCACCAGACTCACAACTTAATATGTATTTAGCAAATATCAACAATAAAATTAGGGTCGCAAAAGAGGCCACATTCATGGATTAAAGTCACAGTTACTCAACAATTCAAAATTTACGTAACAAATTCCCTCACAAAAAAGCGGAGAATCAAATATCACAATAAAGGTGATTACCTACGAAGTATAAGCTCACAACTAAGATCACATACGAAAAGATTATAAATCACCGTTTCTCAATCGCATACGAAAAAATTATAAATCACTGTTTCTCAACTCATAATGCCCTTGTTTGATCCCCATTCTTTGGAAAAAATGAATTCTTCTACAGTATTTTGACATCATTTCAACCACACATTCTTCAATAAAATAATATTACACGTAAATTCAAAACTTTTCATTATTTTTTAATCACACATTTCTCATCAATACACTATTCAAAAATTTATTTTCCCCTTAAAATGGGGCTCAAACAAGGACATTAATTGGAGCGAAATTTTAGGGTATCATATTGGAGAGTGAAAATTGAAATGAAAGCAGAGATCAGTTTAGTTGCCTTTCAATTTACGTATTTTGGTTACTCGGGCTGAAAATAATAATAAATTTAACCACTATTTAATAGGGATTAAAATAATAATAAATTTCCATCTTTGCGTCTAGAAAAAAAGAGAGCTGAAACATATCTAACTTCTTCTGATTTAACCACTATTTAGTAGGATTAAAATCTAAATTTTAATATAAATCAGTTAATAATTAATTTTAATTACACATTTCATAAAATTCACAACTTTTCAATCACACATTTTCTCAACTTTTATCAAAATCAACTAAAAATTTGATTTTAATCCCTCACGAAATAGGAGCTTAGTCATATATAGATTTTGAGTTTGTCCAGTAGTGTAAGTTTTCTTTTGTTTATTAATTTCTTTGCCCAGATTTTGTGAAAAGGAAATATTTAATTTCTAAAGTCGCCATTTATTACGTGTAAAGATCGATTAACTCCCAACAAGTGTACAATATCTTGAGATAATTCATTAATTAATTAACAGCAAGGCTTATTATATTCAGAACCCTCCTTGGCCGTCATTCCAAACTTGGAACGCCATATCTCCGAAGATTCAACAAGCTATTAGCTACATCAATGGTCTTTTAGAGTTGAGAGTAGGTATACTATATTGGTAGCAAATGTTAAAGAGATGCTACACTAACATATTCATTTGCACAGATTTTGTACAGGTAAGTGAGTATGATATTAATTGTGCTATTTTTTAATTGGGTGGGACTCATCCCATTGTGAGTAATCTGTACAAATTCTGGTGGAATCAATCTGGTGGAATAGCTTTTTCCCAAATGTTAATACTCTAGACTTTTTGAATGGAGAGCAAATTTAGCCCTGGTTGGGTGGGGATTAAAATCATATTTTTGATAAATTTTAATAAAAATTGATGAAATGTGTGATTAAAAAATTTAAAGACCTATGAAATATGTGATTGAAATTAATTATTGATTTTGACTTAAACAGCTATGAATAACAATCGTGCAGATGAAACAAAAATTCCACCAAGACCATCGTTTATGCAATGAATTTACACATTCTTT